TAATTTTAAGACTATAAGTTTCATATTTGATGAACACATTTTTGTAATAATGTTTGTTGTAGCTTTGATAGAATGCATGTATTTTCTATACAATAAAAATATATGAATTTGAAATTATTATTGCCACATATAAACTAATATATATATATATATATATATATATATATATATATATAAAACTATTGCCATATATATTAGAGGATATTTCTTGCGTATTATATTACGTTACAGCGCTTTGAATTATATAAGTTCACGATTAAGACGCGTTATTAGTTCGGTTTCTTATAGTTGTTTAAACAAGGATTTATATAAAAATTAAAAAAAAAATGAATAAGTATGTAGAATTTGAATTCATTTATCCGTACATATTATTTCATTTTTCTACTATCAAACGTGCAAATGTATTTATTTTATGAATTAATTGTATATCATAAACTAAAAGAGCATGTTAATACAATTACATTGCTTGTTTTTTCGGTACACTAAAAATTATCACTTAACAAAAAAAATATACGGCGACAAAGATTAATTTCCTTTACACGTATATATTTTCGTTCCTAATTTTTCAGTAATCCAAAACACCGCCGTTTTACTCTATTTCTTGCCCCAGAATATCCGACTGGTACATTTTCCGATGAATTACGAGTTCGAATTAATCAAGTGTACGTGATCATGATGCGATACGCATAATAAATAGCCTGCACCTATGGACGTTTGTGATTAACTCTGAGTCCGGGAAGAAAAGCGGTCAGCTACGTCGGAACCGCCCGCTACGCCTAGCCATAACTCATCTACGGCGCGGGGGCGCCGCCACGGATGTGCCGTTAACATGCACTGTCGATGGCATAAATTAGATGTCACGAAGCCGAAGAAAAGAATTCGATTTGTAATTAAAAACGTGAAATGATTCTTAATTAATTTATCAATTTTGAATTTAGGAGACGCCGGGCTTCAGGCAACTTCACGCGCAAAATTAAAATTTGAATTTATAGTGCATTAAGTGAATAATGTATATATCGAATACTAATTAATACTAATAGCCAGTAACAGTACTGTAAAGAAATTGCAGTATGATTCCATATAATAAAATTTCAACCAAAACTTTTATCAACATTCATTTCTACTTTATACATGGTCTGTTCAAAAGTACCCGGAATTACTAATAATTAAATTTCGCGGGTCTGGAGTGTCTGATTGTCAAATTTTTTTTTATTGTGTTGGTATACATGCCCCTAAAGTATGATGAAACTTTCAGCTATATTCACTGTTTACTTTGTCTGTGGTAGTCGCTAAGGTTCGACGTGTTTTTCTGAGCTCGGCGATTTTTACAATGGAAGAATTGAAAAAGTCAAAGAATTTGTATTAAATTTTGCGTAAAAATGAAATAAAGTGTTGCAAAGTGCAAAAATTCACCAGATATGGCTCCGTGTGACTTTTTCCTATTCCCAAAGTTGAAGAGACCCATGAAAGGACGGCGGTTTTCCTCGATTGAAGAAAATCGCCGAGAGTGCTCAAGGACATACAAAAAGTGAATATCAAGGGTGCTTCGAAAATGGAAAAAACGCTGGCATAAGTGTATTATATCTGGGGGGGACTACTTTGAAGGGGACCACATTAATGTAGACGAATAAATAAATATTTTTTTGAAAAAACGAAAATTACGAAAACTTTTTGAACAGACCTCGTATATTATAAAATAATTTATTTATCTTTATACTGGTTGTCCGAGAACTTAACGTCAAGCCAAATCGGGGTAATAAGATTGACAATTAACTCACGTTGCTTGGAAATACGAGCTTATAAATGCAAGCTAGTGCTTTGGTAAAATTATGGTAACTTTTTGGTTATTGTGGTTAATTTTTATTAATTTTGTTTAATTAAACTTTCACATAACCGTGAATAACATTTTTAGGATATCAGTGAAAAATATTCGCTCGACCTTGAGGCCTTAGTTAACTGTAAATAAAAAACTGTACTAAATTTGTTGGCAAGTTTCAGGACACCCCGTTTTGGCTTGACGTTAAGTTCTGAGACACCCTGTATATAAAACCCTTCCACCTTATTTTTCAATTTTTTGTAAGAATGGATGATTTTAACTTCCCGAAGGAGAAGTTTATATTTCATTTTTATTAAATCATCTCTTTAAAAAACAGTTTTTGAATAGCGCTGATATATCTTTTATTGCCTTTCAAGTATGTATCAACAAACAGTTTCTAATTCTTACCCAAATCTTTTACATCAGATTGTTTGAATACTCTACAATCCTCAATTTTATTAAGAAAACAGTGTTCTCGATTTAGGCCCGATTCGGGTAATATAAACGTCAATGAATTGCAATTTACGATTATTGGGCAAATAATACTGTACGATGATGTGTTTGGCAAGGAACTAATGAAAATTTTTATGATGCCCCGAATCAACGACGTTGCCTAAAACGATAAATGGAAAGCTAATATTAATTCCTGCACGCACAATGCAGGAGAATATACTGTAATTCTTACGAGGAGGAAAAGAATAAAATAAATTGGATAAATAAAACTGATGTGTTATACAGATCAGGCGCATTTACACTTCATACATTTATAATGCTTTCATTGAAAAAGCTTTTGGTATTGTTTAATAGTTTTTAACAAATTCTGCAGTAGCTATTTAGCATTAACGTGTATTTATCTGTAGATAATTCACAATATTATTTTTTCCCTGTGTACTAATATTTTAATTACGCTTAGCTCTGCAAAACTGACAACAAAATATCATAATGTATAATAATTGCACAGCCGTGTTTTAACAGAATTAATGCCACATTCGCTAATACCATAATTTTCAGTTGAATACTGATTTATAATTTTTATGGCACAAATAATGATGACCATATTAACCGGAATTGCTTTATGATCCATTTCATAATGAAATTTTGGCACAGCTTTAATCAAACTATGATAATGGATGGATTTGATATTGCAAACGAAATAGGTATCGCGTATGACGACCTAGGGGTGAAAATTTTACTTGTTATCGATATTATTTTAATAAACATATTTTTGTACATGTTAATATTTTGAATTTATAATGTAGCAGATGCATATTTATAAAACCTAATCACAAACTTATTTATAAATGAAAAAAAAGTTAAATACTGGGATATTAGTTTTGGAATTTATAAGGCCTTTTAGGATTCGGAAACGTACTATTAAAATTCATAATACTAGTTTCAGTAGCATTTTTCCTTCAGGCAAGTTGCATTAACCCGAAACGTATATATAATAACTTAACCAATAAGTATTGAAGTTTAGCTAATTAGACAAAATGTTCAACTGCTTATTTCAAAAATATTTTTTTTGTTTTCACTAAAAAATAATCAATACGAGTCGGTAATGGTATAAATTAAATTAATTTGTTTAACAAATTTCAGTTCAACTATTTGTATTATAGAAATGCATTTTACTTAAGCGTGGATGTAAACTGTAATCAGTAGCTATCTACGAAAAACAGAACGTATATCGATCTTCGGCATATAGGTTCTGATTAGAATCTATGCCAAAAATCGGTTAAATTATAAAAAATTAACTGCTTATCATAAGACTATAATATTTTAGTATGTTTAGGCTAGGAAATCTATTGTTATACAAAGTTTCATAAAAATCGTCAAAAAATTTTCACACACATCTACTTTTTCCATTTAGTCTTATTTGATTCAAGTTGTCAATAATAATAATTGGCATTATTTCCAAAAATAATTGTTAATAACGTTAACGATCACCTATGGTATGGCAATAGTATTTATAAGAATATTTCAATAAGATTATTTAAAAAAAAATATTTTACTAGTGGTCTCAATTTCATCGTTATCATTATATGATGCACATAATTTTAAGCTGTTGTTTATAGCTCACAGTATTATTTTATAGGTTCTCAATCATTCTATTACCAATTACTCATTACATTTAGAGAGAAGATAAGAAAACATCTGTTCATTAAAAACTTTATTCAATTTTCTGTGATTATGTTTATGTTCCGGTTCCAATGTTGTGTGTGCTTCAAAAAACGCTTACCAAAATAATGCGCAATACTTAGCCAAAATACTCAGAGCTCGCAATCAGAACCCAAAGCCGTTGAATAAAACAAAAACAACCGCAATATAAACAATTCCGCCCTAGACCGACAGTCGTTCGTTCAGCGCGTTTTACGCGGCTCAACCCATTAAAGGCAAACAAGCACCACTAGCACATTTCGCCTAATCGAAAATCCTCGGGAAAGGGTTGAATATGCATACAACAATATATGCATATAATGAAGTGCAAATAGAACTCTCCGGACCAAAATTGAACACTCGAAGTAAATGTGCCGGGCTGCTGCACGCGATTATAAATAACATTAAATGATGTCAAACACGATCTCCACGTACAGGGAGTAGGTACATTGGAGAGATATGCCGCAAGGGCATTAACGGTTTACGGTTGTTTACTGCGATCCGATGATAAAGTAAATAACGTTTATTAACACCCCAACATAGTGTATAATTACATATTCTAATATTCGATTTTGCTGGTGGACTTTATCGATTTGGTTTGGATATAATAATATTTTAGTTGGTTGATAGTCCGGTCAATTTTCGCATTGAAGGTTACAAATATTTATAATGGGCTGTAACTTGGTAAAATTGTTTAAAATATAGATATAAAAAAATCTTAAAAGTCCTCATCGTTCTGGAGCGAGATAAAAAATAGGGCACAAAGCAAGATCAAAAAATGTATTTTTTGCGATTTTTAGCTAAATGCTCAGTTTTATCGCAAAATGAGCAAAGACAAAATTGTAGAGCATAAAATTATCTACAAAAATGTATTAATACTTTTTTTCCCTCAGAGCCACCGTTTTAAAGATGTATTACTTTGAAAAGTACGTTGAAAAGCCATCTACGAGGTTCAGCTTGTTTTTATTACGTGGTTACCTCAGTGGGCCTATTTCACTGGTATGTTGTGATTATGTTTCGCCACAATTACAAAATTCTTCTGATAATGCTTCTTTTCCTTTGCCTGGTTCTTTACCTTTTCCTGGTACTATACCTTTACCTTTGTCTGGTTCTTTACCTTCACTTAGTCCTTTATCTTTACTTTTACCTGGTAATAATATCAGATTTAATTTATATTTTAAGCCATATCATGGCTTTTATTTGTGAGTAATATGATCTTAAAATTTCGGGGTTATAGGTTCGATACCCACTTCGACCAGCCTAATATCAGCAGTAGTAATATCCATTTTTACTTCAAAATGTAATTTTAAACTAAACTAAAAATATATCATCAGCATTAGATAAATTATAATATAGACAAAAAAAAATACAATAATAAAAATATGTCAAATGCAGATAGATCATCTTTATTGGGTTGGCATATCTAAAGTTCTTGATGAGCCTTGTAAATACATGATTATAGAGAATGTATCTTCCCAACAAATCATAGAACTGTCACTTTTTTATAACTATTCAAAATCAAGATTTGCTTTAAAGAATACAATGAAGTCGCAATCTTTCATATTATTTCATAATTCACAATTTTCTGAATTTTACAAGGTTATCACTTTATTCCTTTTATGTAAATCAGAAGTTGAACATAAGTATTCCCATTGATTCAGCATATACATTTGAACTGTGTCAGTATATTTATGTCTGTAGTATTACGTAAACAAAGAGTCATCCCTGATATTAGCATTAGATAAATTATAATATAGACAAAAATACAATAATAAAAATATGTCAAATGCAGATAGATCAACTGTTCTTAGGTTGGCATATCTAAAGTCATTAATGAGCCGTCTAAATACACGAATCTTCACAACAACTCATAGAACTACTATTTTTTATTATTGTCCAAAATCAAGAAATTTGTTTTTAAAAAGACAAAAGAATTGTAATCTTTATCCTTTTTTATACTTTTATATAATTTTGTACACTATTGTATCCGTATAATTTTCTGAATTTCACAAGGTACTTTATTCCTTTTATGTAAATCACAAGTTAAGCATACGAATTCCCATTGATTCAGCACATAAATTCGAACTGTGTCAGTATATTTATGTCTGTAGTATTACGTAAACAACGAGTCATCCCTGATATTAACGTAATTTTGCCCCATTTTTCGCCCACGAGGTAAGGGTTGAAGTTGCGAACAATGATAGTCGCGACATGCGGGCGCCGAGCCAGACGTCATCTATTTTGCGCGTGCGGTATACAAACCTTCTGTGACATTTGTAAAGATCAGATCAGAAAACTAAATTATATTAGTGATTAATTGATTAAATGTGAAATTGAGTTTATTTGAAGCTGAAAAATCCAGCTCC